CGCCAACAGCCCTTTGGTGAGATTTATACCATTTTCGGAGGGTTAGGAGGAGGAGGTGACTCCAACTCCGCTAGGAAGGCTCACGTCTGTAGAGCCAGACAGGTGGAGTCTCATGACTCCCGCCCAATAAAGACCCCACGACACGGGGAGGAGGAGGTTATTACTTTCTCAAACAGAGACCTTGTAGGGGTCCAGGTCCCTCATGATGACCCTTTAGTTTTGACCTTGATGGTGGCCAACTACCAGGTGAGGAGGATCCTAGTCGACAGTGGCAGCTCAGCCGACATCCTCTTTGCCACAACCTACAACAACCTTCACCTCGGTAGAGAGAGACTACAGTCGGTCAGGACTCCCTTGGTTGGCTTCTCGGGAGAGAGAGTCCAGCCCTTGGGATCCATCACCCTGCTTGTCACAACAAGAACTACACCCAGGAATTCTACTATCATGGTAAATTTTATCGTACTCGACTGTCCCTCTGCTTATAATGTAATTGTTGGACGCCCTGCCCTCAATGCCTTAAGGGCAGTACCCTCAACTTACCACCTTCTCCTCCGCTTCCCAACCTCCAATGGGATTGGAAAAATAAGAGGAGATCACGTCTCAGCCAGAGAGTGCTACGTGACCTCCATAAGGGCTAGGAGACCACACGAGACTCTTCAAGTTGAAGTCCTTGACCCTAGAGACGACAGTACCTTGGAGAGGGGTGAACCAGCAGAGGAGCTCCGCCTAGAAATACTAGATGACAGCCTTTCGGAGAGGAAAGTATACTTAGGCTCCTCACTCTCTCAGGAGCAGATATCTGCCTTAGTAGATTTCCTTAGAAGAAACGCAGACATTTTTGCTTGGTCCCATGAAGACTTGGAAGGAATTAACCCCGAAGCGGCCTCTCACCGACTCAATGTTGACTCCAGATATAAGCCTGTCCGCTAAAAGTTGAGAAGTGTGAGCACTGAGAGAGGGAAAGCCATGGAGAAGGAGGTAAACAAACTCCTGGCGAACGGGTCAGTGAGAGAGGTAGCCTACCCAGACTGGCTATCCAATGTGGTAATGGTGACAAAGGCCAATGGAAAATGGCACCTCTGTGTGGACTTCACAGAGCTATATAAGGCCTGTCCCAAGGTTAGCTATCCTCTCCCACATATTGACATACTCATTGATGCCACTACTGGACATGAACTCCTAAGTTTTCTGGACGCCTACTCTGGGTACAACTAGATTAGCATGTTTCCCCCGGACCAGGAGAAGACCTCGTTCATCACCCCAAGAGGCACTTACTGCTACAGGGTGATGCCCTTCGGGCTCAAGAATGCCACTGCCACATACCAGCGCCTTGTCAACAGGATGTTTGAAGCCCAGATTGAAAAAACGATGGAGGTCTATGTAGACGACATGTTGGTGAAGAGCACAACAACGACAGATCATGTAACGCACCTCCAGGAGACCTTCGATGTGTGTTGAGAGCTTACAAGATGAAGTTGAATCCTGAAAAATGCGCCTTTGGCGTCAGTTCAGGGAAGTTCCTAGGCTTCATGGTCCACGAAAGGGGCATTGAAGCCAGCCCGGATAAAATCAAAGATGTCTTGGAGATGAAGTCCCTTGCCTCAATTAAAGAAGTCCAGCGCCTCAACGGGAGAGTAGCCGCCCTCAACAGGTTTGTTTCTAAGTCTGCAGATAAATGTCTACCATTTTTTAAGATCCTCCGCAAGTCTTTCCAGTGGACCCCAAAGGCAGAGGAGGCCTTCTAGAGGCTCAAAGCCTATCTCATCACACCACCACTACTCTCTCATGCTGTACTAGGAGAGACTCTCTACCTTTACCTCTCCACTTCATCCTCTGCCATAAGCTTTGTCCTCATCAGAGAGGATGAAGGAATCCAGAAGCCAGTCTACTATGTCAGCCAGGCATATCGAGGAGCAGTGGTGAGGTACCCAGGGCTGGAGAAGTTAGCTCTCGCTCTCGTCACTACCGCAAGATGCCTGCGTCATTACTTTCAGAGCCACACCATCGTGGTTGTCACAAATCAACCACTTAAAAGAATTTTGGAAAAACCTAATGTTTCAGGCAGACTCCTCAAATGGGCTGTGGAGTTGAGTGAATTTGATGTGCAGTACCAGCAGAGGGCTGCCATCAAAGCACAGACACTTGCAGACTTTGTAGCAGAGTCCACACCGATACTGGAGGAGGTAGCAGGCACCCCTACATCCGCTTGCTCAGTACATGCTAACTCCATCCAACAGAAGGCAGGACCTGCAACTGAACGAAGAACCAATGACCATGAGAAGGAAAAGGAGGCAGAGTCACAAACCGGGGCGCCACTCACCTGGCTCGAGGCACCGTCCACCTCACCTTGGGGGCAACTTCCTCAGCCTCCATCACTCCCCACTTTTCCTTCTCTCCAGTCATCACCTTCATCATCTGCCTCGCTATGCTGGAAATTTTATGTCGATGGATCCTCTACCAATGAGGGCGGCGGAGCAGGGCCCGTGCTGATCAACCCTCATGGCACCCCCTTGAAGTATGCAGTTTCCCTACACTTCACCACATCAAATAATCAAGTAGAGTACGAGGCCCTTATATCAGGCCTAAGGTTAGCTTTGGAGATGGAAGCACTCAACCTCATGGCACATAGTGACTCTCAACTTATAGTCAACCAAGTGAAGGGAGATTTTGAAGTCAAGGAAGAAAGGATGCAGGAGTACCTCTCGATGGTCCAAGCCCTCCTCACGAAGTTTGCCAACTTTGAGATCCACCATGTACCTCGAGAGGAGAATGCCATGGCGGACGCCCTCGCCAAATTTGCCTTTGCCAATATACTTATGGGCCCAGCGTTAACAGGTCATCAGTTTGAGCCTAGCACCTCCAAGCTAGAGGAGGCCAAGGTTCATTGCGCATCGTCGGAGTCCAACTGGATGACTCTTATCCGAGTTTACCTAGAGGAGGGCACTTTCCCAGATAACCCAGTAGAAGCCAGAAAGTTGAGGATGAGAGCATCCAGGTATGTTATGCTGCAAAACCCCCTTTACAAGAAAAGTTATTCTCTCCCGCTACTTCGCTGTCTCGCCCCAGAGGAGGCGGACTACACCATGAGAGAGATCCCTGAGGGGATATGTGGGAATCACTCAGGAGGGCGTTCATTAGCCCATAAAGTAGTCAGACAGTAGTTTTATTGGCCTAATATGATGCGAGACACCCGTGACTTTGTAAAAAAGTGTGATAAGTGTCAACGCTTTGCAACCATGCCCAGACAACCACCTGAAGAGCTCACCACCATCCAGAGTCCATGGCCTTTCTCCATGTGGAGGATCGACATCTTAGATCCCTTCCCTGTGAGTTGAGGTCAGTGCAAATTCGTAGTCATAGCCATCGACTACTTCACCAAGTGGGCAGAAGTTGAAGCCTTAGCTAGAATCACAGATCAGAAGATAAAGAACTTTATATGGAAGAGTTTGGTTTGTCGCTTCGGGATACCGCATGCCATTGTAAGTGACAACGCCAAGCATTTTGACAACAAACTCCTCAACACTTTCTGTGCGGACTTGCAAATCAAACAACCCCACTCTAGCCCCGCCCATCCACAGGCGAACGGGCAGGCAGAGGTCACTGTCAGGACCATACTCCGAAACTTGAAATCCAGACTGGATTCTGCAAAAGGAAAGTGGGTAGATGAACTCTCAGGAGTATTATGGGCCTATCGCACGATACCAAGGGCTCCTACGGGCATGACCCCATTCTCCCTAGCCTATGGGACATAAGTAATGATTCCCGTTGAAATCGGGGTACACTCCCTTAGAGTGCAGAACCATGACCCTACCAGTAATGAAGAGGCCTCCGCATCAACCTTGACTTGATAGAGGAGGAGAGGGAGATAGCCATACTCAGGAATGCAGAGTATCCGATACGGTATCTGATACGGATACGTTGATCTTGAAGAAATATCCGTGCTTCATAGTATATCCATATATCCTATACATAATGATGTGAATTTTGAACTGTTCGAATGCACCAATTCTTTATTTTCTGTTTGATATTGCTGTATTGGAATTAATTTGATAAAGGATAGAGCTGCATATAGAGGGTGGGGTTTAGCACATGAATAAGGTTGCTTCATTGAGATCTAGAAGTTAAGGGTTTGAGCCTTGAAAACAGCCTCTTCGCATGCATGGGTGACGCTGCGTACATGTGACTCTTGACTCTGAAGTGGCAGCAGTCTCATCCACTAGGTTGCCCATTTTTTAAATGTACTAAGTAAATATATCCTAAGCAAGTTTGGTGTTATATTTTGTGGGTTTCTCTCTAATATCTTTTCCTAAAAACTTCTATGTTTATGAGTTATTAAATTGCAACCAACTCTGATTTCCCTATTTTCATCTTTCTTCTTTTGAACTTCTGAACTGAGGTAAGAAATAGGAAGAGGCCTACAATAACATCAAACTTGGTATTTTGGAACATGAAGGGTAAGGGCATCTTCTGGGTGACTCTGGTTTGCCAAAAAAGAATGCCCTTCTTAAACAGCTATATGATGAACCTAAGAGTTTCCCCACCAGTTATCTCTTTGGATGTTGGTGGTTCCTTATTTAAATTGATTAACAGACATGGTATTAATATTTTTCCCCTCTTGTTCTCTTTCCCTCCCCAGCCCCCTTCTCCAGCCCCACACTTTCGATGCATTATTTTCTTGTGCAGGTGTGTTGTTTTGCATTTCTGAAAACATTGTATTTCTTTATCGCAGTATCTTGATGCTAACACATGTTGTTTTTGTCATCCGCATTCACTTACAATTATTACTTCTGATTTCTTTTATTTCTTTGAATTGATATATATGTATATATTCACATGAAACAGATTACAACTTTCAACATCTCTTTGGTTGTGCGTGGGACAGTTTCTGAGAGCAACTCTTTGGTGAATGTAATGTACTTCAAGTTTTGGATGTAATCTGTAATCATTTCTAGCTGCCATCTCACATCTAGGATCATTTTTTTTTCTTGAAAACTTGTGTAATGCAGAGTGAGACTGATCCCTATGCAGTTCCTAAGACCATGGGAATTTTCCAAATGCTTGAGAGCCCAAAAGATATTACTACCACTTTGGTAGCCCAAAGGATAATCACCAATCATCAGATTTACATGGTATCGTTCATAATCCCCCCGCTTTATAAGCATGTTTTCCCAGGTTTCTGCCTTGCTGGATGAGTGGTTTTTCACAAATTAACAAATCCGAAGATTGACTGAATAAGTGGTCTGAATGTTATGTAACTTCTATCTACATCCTGTGTCTGTAGATTGATTAACATTTTTTATGAGTGCATGCAGAAACATTAAGCATCAAGATGATTTTATATACATCTTTTCAGGTTGCATCCATGTATGGTTATGGGCCAACTCTAGATGCAAATTCAGAATAGTGTATTTAAGATCTCATCATACTTTCAAAATTTGCTGGTGCTTATTATTATTGTCATCTAAAGCTACTATTGTACCTTCAAGTACCCCAGGTGGGTGTTTTTTTTTTTTTTTTGGGGGGGGGGTGGGTTTAATCACATCTTTCTTTCTTTTTTCTGATAAATTCTCATGTTTTTGCAACTGTTTATCAATTTTCTTGAATGGTTCACTTAAAAGTCAAGATAAAAAAATATCCTGTCCTCAGTGGCACGTGTGTGATATATGTTGGACAACATTTTATGTTTGATTTTCTGTTGTTTTGGCCATCACATGGTGGACTGCCTATTCAAATTATACTTGTCATTTGGACTTGGTATGTAGTAGAACTAATGTGCAACTGCTTTTGCAGATACGCAATACCAAGAAGGAAGCTAGTGAGAAGAAATATTATGCTGAGAAGCAATATGTCTCAGGAGATTGAGGGCTAATGTATTGAATTCATTATGGGTTTTCCTAGCTTTATATCATCTTCAAGGTCCTGGTTGCTATTACTGAAAAAATAAACGTTATATTTTAATTCTTGAAGGGTAGGCAGAGAAGAAAAATGAAAAGGTATAGAAGAATCCCCCTAGTCAGAAGCTTTGGGATAACATTTTGTTGTAACACTCACAGAATAGTACAGGTCGTTAGTGACACAGTAACCTGCTGAATGTAACTTAATCTTTGCACATCTTGATGAAGTTTAAGTTTTCGATTTGTTGAAAGCTATTTGATACCAAATATGTCTAAATGCATGTTGCCTCGAGAGCAATTTTGATGTGCGAAATGAACCTATACTCTTGAGACACAATGTTTTAAAGAAGGCGCACTGACAAAGTGGAGACCATTAACTGCGGGAATCTAATCTGGTAGTATAGCAGTGGCATGTGGCGGGTTTGGCGGATTAAAACGAGGTGGTTGTTATGCAATCCCATTTTATTTTTGCCCGCTTTATAAGTAACGCATTCGGTTAAAATGGATTGGGTGAAAGCCGTAGACAATTGATAACCAATCTTAGAATAATAACACACTTTCATACCCTGACAAGCATACACCTGATAACATTTTACCCAAACGCACACTCCCACTGATAAACAAAAACAAAAGCACCACAAACGTTAGGTTAAACTGTATAGCAATTCATCTTGACCATTGATTTTTAGTTAGATAATTTGTAATCATTATTGATTAATAAAATGTTAAAAATTTTATTGGATGAAAAGTAGGGGTACATAGTTAAATAATGATATTTCAATACCCAACCGGACTCCAAACTTTTAAAATGGATAACTGATCAGTAGAAATTCCTGCTAAAAGAGAGGAAGGTTACCGAAAATAGGCTAAAGAATCGAACAGGCTTTCTAACGGCTAAAGCACCTAAAATACACTCTTACAACCTTATTGGGCTTCAACTGCACTAATGAACTTGTTTTCAAGTTGGTGAAGATTAGAACACAGTCCGGCCATCTTTTTTATCGATAATTATAAGCATGTACTTTTGAAGGCTTTTAAGTACAGGTATTTACAATATTTGTGTTAAATTTTGGATAGGAAGAGATTAGAGATAAAAAATAAGGAAAGATATAATACACAAAAATTTACTGATTCAATCTATTCAGATCAGCATCCAAGACACAATATTCTGGACTTCCACTTTATTGATAAATAGATTAAATGGGAGATTTGTGTGTTTGATACAATAAGAGTGCACCCATATTTAAAGGTGGGAATGGTACAAAAGTCTTTCTTGCCATCAATGCTGATGGCTGATACAATAAGAGTGCACCCATATTTAAAGATGGGGATGGTACAAAAGTCTTTCTTGCCATCAATGCTGATGGCTACCTTTCAGCTCCTACGACTGTTTGTTTTCAAGTCTGGCAGCTTGATTTGATCCTGTGCAACACTACCCTCAAATTGGTACACATACATGTGAAATAAGTGTTCAACTTGAATTGAACAATGAATTGATTTGCACAGAATGCGGCTCTTTTGAAACTGACAAAAATTATGATAGTTTAATTGGTTGGTGCTGTGAGTGTCCTACAGCTTTTCTGCGAACTACAAAAAAATTAAGGAAGTTTTCGTAACTCACGGGTGAGTGAAGCAACAACCTTTATGCAGCTGATGAGCAAAGTTCTTAGGTCTTATTTAGATTGAATGAATTTGTCACGGTCTACGACAATGACATCCGGTTTATAATAAGACCTGGGAGGAGCATCTGAAACACGTAGAGACTGTTCTAAAAGTTTTGTGTGAGTACCAGTTAAAAGCTCATACGGAGAAGAGTTTACTTATGAGCAAAAATGGATGAGGGAGCTGAGCTGGTATATCGTTTTTATGGGTCAATATGTGTACTCGTTGTATCAATATCTTTTCTGACTTGTTGCATAGGTACTCGTACTGCAGGCATTATTCTGTAATAGAAAAGCCAACACCTAACTATGCCCATGTCGTAGTTTCTGCGGCTACGAGAAACCTTCGGGCCCGGCTATAGAAAAGGATCTGTTATCGTCCATGCCCTAGCCGTTGCTTCCGCTGGATCAATGGGATCCCAATCTTGATTTCCTAGGTATACTTTGCCCTGACCTTATATGAGATTACTTTCAAGCAAGACAATCAGAAGAAATTCCTCCTTCTAAGGCAATCTATCTTATTATAACCCTTAGGAGCAACCATGAAAGCTAGATGGCTACCTTATCTTACATTATAGAGCTCTCAGGCAAGGAAAGGGGAAAGAATTTCTCGGGCCAAGCCTTTAGGTTGTTTAAGTAGGTTTGGGCTAGGTCGTTGCGCTCCTGCCACCTCTTGGCAAAGTAGACTGATGGGCAAGTTCTTTCAATGAATTCTTTTGATTCCGAGTTAACCAGGTCAGTCATGGGAATGCCCTCTATAGTACCATTCTCATCGAGAACACCTTGTTTTAATATGGTAGATAGTTCTATTACCTATTCCATAGCTTGATCCATTTTGGATCTAGGCAGCATTCAGGCAACCAATCAATTACAAACTCGGGCAATGCAGCCCACCAAATTGTGAATCCAATAGCTAATGGAAAATATGCTCTCAAGGTCGATTCCCTAAATGTTGCGATTGTCTTGCTTTTTTGGAAATGACAAAAATTGCGGCAATTCAATTTGCGGGTGCTGCAACAGTTCGTGGAAATTGGCTGTGTTTGTGACCATCTTGAAATTGCTCCCCCGAATATCAAATGGGGATGTTGTGCACTAAAATTGTGTATGGAAGGAACATCGTCATACAAACACGAGAGACACAAAATATAAAAAGACAATAAATGGGAAGGGTGTTGTAAATATGAAAGACTTTCACCATCCACTTTTCTCTCTCTCTTTCCGCTTCTTTTAGTCCTTTTTTTTTTAAGGATTAATTGTATATTAAACTCCGAAAGATCGTTTACACCCCGAAAAATAAAAAAAATTTCAATTTATACTCTCAAAAATAGAAATTTATATCAATGTGCAACCCCAAAGATCAAAACTCTTAATTTGCACATAAAAGGCATAAATTTATATCAATATGCACCTAAAACTAACCGCCATCAATTTACTGTTTGAAATTAAATTGATAAATTATACCTAGATTCACTCACACTTATCAATTAATTATTTGGATCTCTTCACATTTAGAATATTATTCCTACATCTTATGATGTTTGTGCACATACAATACGTAACCGTTGTTTGTTGATATTTGTTAATATAACCATTAAAAAATATGATTTTATCCTAATAAAAAATTATAATTTTATATTACCCATTTATTTCGTAGGTAATATATACTCTAAAGTTCAAAATCAAACTTACTATTTGAATGTCCAATAGAATATAGGTATTTATATAATATTTTTTATATCAAATGCAATATATTACTTAAACATAATTATTTAAATGCTCAATTGGGGGGACATTTTAGATTGAGAGCATTTTTATTAGGATTTTATAACCATTAAAAAATATGATTTTATCGTAATAAAAAATTATAATTTTATATTACTTTTTATTTTGTGAAGGAGTTCAAATGATTAAGTGTTAAGCATGAGGGAATTTAGGTATAATTTATCAATTTAGTTTCAGGCAGTAAATTGACGACAGTTAATTTTAGGTGTAAATTGATATAATTTTTTATTTTTGATGATGAAAATTGAGATTTTTGATCTTTTGGAGTGCACATTGATACAAATTTATATATTTGAGGGTGCAAATTAAGATTTTTGATTTTTAGAGGTGCACATTGATACAAATTTTTATATTTAAGAGTGTAAATTAAAAAATTTTTGATCTTTAGGAAAAAAAATTGAGATTCCAACGATCTTTCGAAGTTTAATTTGTGATTAACCCTTTTTTAAATTACTTTTCTATAAACTACTTCCATCTTTTCCTCCCACTTCTCTCTTCCAGTATCCGCTCCATTTATCTTCTTTCTTTTTCCTGGCTCTTTTCAGAGCCATCTTTCTTCTGTAAAACCCATCACCCCAAAACACTTGAATGGTTTGGTGTGTCCAAACAGTGGCTTGGTTTCTTAACAAGCTTTGGATCTTGAGTCCAAGCAAAAATGGTGACGATTTGGGTTTCTTGAGTCGGAAAGGACTGAAGGAACAAAAGATTTGTTGACTGGGGAAGATCTAGCCAAATCTGATCGACATCAATGAAGATGAAAAATATGGATTAGCTGGTAATATATATTTTTTTAATATAGAATGAACAAGAAATTTCGGTCACCAAAATTTGTACCGAACGAGTTTTTTTTTTTTGACACAGAAACTTCTCCATACAGATTCAGAAATGTGGATCTGGTAGAGTATTTTTAACTTTTATCCAAATTTAGACTCGTCTAAATTTGAGTTTAAATAGTTAAATTTTTTTTTTTCTAATTTTAGACTCAAATCTATACTAAATTGACAAAAAATTTATTCTAAACTCAAATTGAATGAAACTTAAATTATATACCAAAATTTTAACGGTAATTTTTTATCTTATTTAAAGTCGAAAGACTTATCTCATATTTCTTCTCTCTCATCCATCTTTTATATTATATAAACTCTAAACCTATCTCTTAAATTTTTCTTTCATTTTTTTGAGTTAAATATTATCGGTAGTGCAATTATAAGCCTCTAATTTTTCTTAAAATTTTAAGCTTTCACTCCCCACAAATTTAAAAAAATTGTTATTTTATTTCTTTAATCATTCATTTTGTTAAAAATGATCCTTTTTTGTACTCTTTAGACAAGACCTTATGAAACACGGATACGGATATGAGATAAGGGTACGATACGATACAGGTCCGGCGATACGATAAAATCTAAAAAAATAGGACATGAGTACGACTAAAATACGGTTATAATAAAATATATTTCATATTTTTATTATTTTCAACTAACGTAATACTTATATATATTTAGGTAGTTCTTTAATATACAATAAG